ATGCATGATCTGATGCATCGCGCCATACCACATGACCTGCGCCGATCCCAACCCATCTACATATTTTTCTGCTAACACTAGCTATGACTACCTAAATTATTCCTATTAAACTATTATTTATTCACTTGTTTACCTTATTAGCAACCTCCATTAATATTTCTTAATTACTATAACTCCTTAATCCCATTTCCGCTATGCTTGATAATTCCGAAGTAAATAAGAGTATTAAGAACTGGAATCATGCATGATGACTCACAGCACATTTAAACTTTGGAAAGCAAATCATTAAGCAAGATCGACTAGTCAATGAATAAGTTTCCAAGCATTTGCTTTATCCGCATATCTCACTTGTTTCTTTCCTTTACCATTCACCCTATCTTTTTCTTTGGTAAGCAAATTCATGATTCCATAGAATATAATATAAGAATATTGAGAACTGGAAACATGCATGATGATTCGCAGCCTATTTGAACATTGGAAAGCAGATCATTGAGCAAGCTCAGATAGTCAATGTGTAAGTTTCCAAGCATTCAGTACATCACACTTCCTTCTTTTGCCATTTACTCTAGTTTTGTCACTAGGTGCATTTCTCTTTTTTTTTTTTGTTATAACTTTGAGAAAAGGTGGGAGGGCCTATATGAAAAAGCCAGATAGAAAATCGGGTAGTGAAGAAAACAAGCACTGATGATCTTATCATCACATCATAACTACTTAATATCAAAATTTGTAACACAAATCATATGTAAGATGATTTTCATAATAATAACCCTTACATGACTATTATCATGTATCAAATCTATTATTCTCACTCAGATCTTTTATTAGTACTATAAAAGAACAGAATGGGAAAATACAAAGTATTGAATGCTTATACTAAAATTTCATTTTTGCAGATGTACTATGTAGTATTGTCGAAAAGACTCTAAAATATAATACTACTGATTGAGATAACTATCCTCCAATACTCATAATTTGAGGTAAACTTAAATTCACCTTCATTGCTGCCATTGCTCCTCCAATACATATTCTGTGTTCAGAATACTTACCTACTAATCCAGTATGTTTTACTACCTTCTTTACTATAGAATTAATAGTACCTGTTGTCATTTTTCTTCCATTTATATTCAAATTTTCTCTAAAACTTAGATATTCGAGGACCAATTTCACTAAACAATACTTTGACACTATTATATCCACTGGTATAAATTTCCCATTTGTGAATTGATCTGTTTTGGATTTATTAATTCTTATCCAACAGATATTATCGACAAACTTTAAATCTGCTATTCATAGATTGCATAACTCTGATAGGTGACACATTGTACAGAGTCCTAAAGCAATTATTGCATAGTCTCGTCTCCAAAGCATATTAGATATTCCAAGTGGTGGGTTATCAACATAATATTTCAAGCACTAGTTAGTAGTGAATTACGTGGCCATATTGCCTCATATTCTATTGCCCATAACTTTCTTAACTTTCTTGCTAAATTTTGTACTTTTATCTGTTGTAGAATCTGCCAGGTTGTTTTTCAAGTGATATTTTCTGATTGCAATCAAATAGATTCTAAGGTTACTCCTTTTTGTATAGAATATCATTCCATGTCAAAAACATTAATATAGTATCTGATTATGTTGGTTGTGCTTCTAATCTATGGATTTTACAAAATGTATTAAAATTTGTCCAGTATAAATAAAAAAGTTTTTCATAAACTGATTTTGTTGACAAAAGCCTGTATGCTTTATTTAATAATTTTCCTAAAAATGAATTTTTATTGCTTGAAATTTCCATTGGTCATTTTTTCAAGGTTCTAATATTAAATTTCCTTTGGGACTTGGGCAAAAGCTGAGCTTTGCTGAGGTTAATACTATTTTTTCTATTTTTTGTTGTATAAGTGTTGGCCACCATGGAGCTAACTCTCATATTGATATAATTATTGTCATTTGTATCTCATCTTATATTCCATGTTCAAGTATTCTGTGTATTAAACTTAGTGGAGGACATATATAGTTGTTTTCATATTTTCATTTTTGAGTGAAACAATCTGTGGCTTCTGATTCTAGACAATGATAACAGCTGTTGAAATGATTTAACTTTTTTGATAAATAGCTTGCCATTCTGTCTATTTGTAAATGGAACCCATTTTAAATTTATCATTTTGAATATTTCTTCTGCTAGCATCCAATCTGAATTGTCGAAAAATCTGGTTAACTCGTCAGCTGGATTCAATTTGGTAGAAATCCATTGAAATTCATGAATCTGTATATCATACTGGTCACAAAAGTTTCAAACTTCTTACATAATTTTTTTTTGCCATGGTTATTTTCCTCCTGCTTCTATTGTTTTTTATACTATACGATTGTCGATAAATATTTTTATTATTCACTCCTTTATATCAATAATAAATGATATGAGATCCAGTAGTATTGCTAATGCTTTCAAATGTGCTATATCTATGTGTTGATACTTGTATTCCCAATTTCTGAAGGTTTTTTTGTTTCCAAGTATCTCTGACCATCCTATTGTTGAAGCATCTACAAAAATAGGTATAATTTGAAATGGTTTCCAAACAAGTTTTCTATTTTGTTTTTTGAGATTTTCTATTATCTATTTTAAATAGTTCTTTGCTTGAGCTGTTAATATTACTCAATTGTTCCATTGCCATGGTTTCCTATTTTCTGCATCGATTATTATAGAAAATTCTAAACAACACACTTTGGCATAAATAAATGCTTGGTTTAAACTGATTATTTTTCCTGTTGTTGCTACTAACTCGCATGCTGTTATTGATTTTGCTTTCAATATAGTTTATAGATTGTATATTGTCTTTCTTATTTTCGTATCTGGTGCTAATACTATTCCTGTTACTATATTTAGAATTAATGCATAAAATTTTGCTTTTTGTATTGGTTTAATTGACTTTTCTCAGCTAGTACAAAACTACACTTTATTAGATCAGATAGAATTACTGAATTTCAGATATCCAATAATATTTTTCGATCCAGATGAGCAATCCATATATCGTCCAAGTGATTTTCACAAAAAATTCCTAGGTATCTCCAATAACCAATTACTAATCACATTATTTTTGAAAAGATCCAAACTGCTTGGCTTAAACCAAAAGGCATTACTCAATAATGATACCAGTTTTCTTTTATTTGAAATTCCAGTAACCATTAAGCTTCTTTATTCATTAGTATGTGATGATAGCCCTCCTTAAAGTCTAATACAATTATCTACTAATTTCATCTAATTATGCAAAGAAACGTTTCAAATCTCTCAAATTTGAATGTCTTTTCTGGTAGTGTTGCATTTAATCGTCTCAAGTCAATTACTAATATCCATTTTTTGCACCCTTTTTTCAGAATTAAAAATATTGGACTAACTTCCATCAATGCTCTTGGCTGCTTGTGGGAACTGGATACTAATGTAATTGCTTGTGTTTTGCTTAGTATTTCTATTTCCATTTCTAACCAAATGTTTTGTTCTTCGGTTAATAGATATGGGTGTGGATCTGCTTGATTCATTAACCATATTAAACCCCTGGGAAATAAAGGTATACTATGTTCTAACCAATTTATTATTAGTTTTGATGCCTGTATTTTCATCTTCCAATAATTTAAATACTGTTCTAAGTGTAAGCATCCCATTACTAATATTTGATTCTGTACCCAAGTGTAGTCAATAATGTTTCCTGTTTTCATCATCTCTACCAATGTAGTTTCTATCGTATTTGTTTTTATAAGATGTATACCCTCGTGAGTAATATGCTCTTTGTTTGTAACTATCTTTGTTTGGATTTTATGGACATTCATTTGTGTAATGTCCATATCCCTCACAGATATAGCACTTACTGGAGTTTGAGCTTTTGTTTTTATTTCTATAGTTGGAACGAAAAAATTTATTGGAGTTATAATATTTATTTTCTCTGTACACAACATTATTTGTTTTTGATGATTCATATATTTTCTGTCGTTTCGCTATTTTTACTTCTACAAGAGTTTTGACTTTTTCGATTAATGAATCCTTTCCTTTCATCCAATCATCTTGTGTATCAGGTAAAGCTGATGCAATATCCCAGCCATATCCCTCTGTTACTCTCAATGTGAACATACGGCTGGCTGCAAGTTCTCGTGCATTATTGATGTAATCGACCACCTCGGTTGTGCTTCTTGATTCCATTGCTAGATCCAATTCCTTTCCAATTTTGCGCAAGGCATTATATTCATGTTGATCGCGAGATTTTTCAAATTTATGTTTTTGCCATGTTTCATTTACTTCCACTCTCTGTTTAGTATCATGTACTTGTGCCATTACAGTATTCAACTTGTCATTGATTGTCAACATAGCGTTTTCCAACCTTTTAAACTCTTAATAATTTGCCCTCTCTAGATTCGGTTTCCTTATCATTTGTCAATGGGCGTTTTCTATTATTTGTTATGTTTAACTTTGGTTCCCTCTGTTATTCTCAAATGTCACTGACTGTTCTTTTTCTAATTGGCTTGTTGGCGCGTCGGGTAGTTCTATTCCTTTACGTGACAGATATGCTAACTCCTTTAGAGTTCTTGCTTGCTGGTTCAGGTCACCTATTTCAGATGTATCGGAGTGATTGTCATGAACCACAGTGTTCGTATCTTCGTCTTCCTCTCTACCATTTCCTTCTGTGTCACAGCTATCTGCACGGTTCTTCCCCTTGAGACATTTTCTTATTCTTTGGACTAAGTCTGCCTTTACGCCATCTGTAGCAATCCCTAATGCTTGACAGACATTTTCGCGATCAGTTTTTGAAATATTCGCGTCGGTCATTACTAGTTGTAGGTAGTCCTTGTACGAAAGAGCCAGATAGAAAATCGGGTAGCGAAGAAAACAAGCACTGATGATCCCATCATCACGTCATAACTACTTAATACCAAAATTTGTAACACAAATCACATGTAAGGTGATCTTCGTGATAATAACCCTTGCATGACTATCGTCATGCATCGGGTCTAAACTTTCCCACACCTTAATTTCCCTACCACTAACTTTTCCCACCGTCGATCTCATAACACACTAATTACGTGACGCGACGGCGTGTCACGCTACTGTGCCTACTTTTTACCCACGACACTGGTAATGAACTGGTTGGAAGTGCGAAATATCTTCTGTTCCATGTAAGTGGCTTTTCTCTGCAAAAGAAGGCATATCCTGTGTGCTAGTAATAACTCGGGTTTACCGTTTAAGCTTCTCAAAATCGTCTTATTTTAATACTTCAGTTTTAAGCTCAGTATATTCAGCTTCAATTTTGGCATTATCTGCCATAACCTGTCTCAATTTTGTATTCCAGCCTCAAGCTTAGCAACTTGCTGTCTCAATAAATCAATATTGGATTGCATGTTCGATGATAATTTTGTTTATAAGATGTAGATTTATTCAAAATGTTGTTGTCACCGGCGAGTCTGTCACTAAAACGGCTCACTCATTGCGTGACAATAATCTGAACGCTTGAATTTCAGCACTAAATAAGATAAGGCTTTATCTCTGAGGCGGATTATGATTTGGCCGACTTGCTAATCTCTTCTTAACTATCTTTCCCTAGGTGTGTCTCAAGATTAAGTGTCATTCTCTTCATGATGCAAAAGGTAACTCGGTCTCTTCTTTTAAAGCCGTTTACTGTAGTGGTGTGCTTTCAGTTTATACTTTTAGGGTGTGTCAATGGAATTGTGCAAAGTTGCAGCATTTATTTAATTAATGAAGAGCGAAAAGCGCATTACAAATTCTAAACTCTCAAAGCTGACTTAAAACTCAAAGCTGACTCTCTACAAACTACATAAACTAACCTATTTATATGCTTTTTTGTTGACGCGACCACCCAGTTACAGTACATGCTACGCGCCTCAATGTCGCGTTCCCATCCCTATTGTTTCCACAACAATGTTTATACCAGATCTAGTGTGTCTGACACAAAATGACAAAAAAATATATATCCTCGACTCATATGTGCTGGATGAAGTGCCAAAAACAGTCACCCAGAGAACGATCAGAGTTACACAAAAATTCTTTTTTCTCGAACAATGTTCGTCCAAATTATGTGACTAAAAAGTGAAAAAACGCGTCACGCCGACTACTTTTGCCAAGAAAAGTTTTGCTTTCTCGGTAAGAAAATTTGAATGATTCCGCGTTCCATTTCAGAACGCCGATCACTTTTCCCAGGGCAAAGCCCATTGTTCCGACACGCGATCGGGATTTATATATTAACATAGAAATGATTTTGAGTTTATCAGACTATTTATGCTCCTCACGTGTCCCGGATTTGACATCTCGGAAACGACCCAAATAAATCATAATATACTCATTATCACGCGTGAAAAATTTCATTGTTATTAATAAAAAATAAATTGCAAAACCAGACATGGCCCATAATCATTGCATCATTTACTCCCTTCTATTATCTGATTCGATACACACGAAGGAATTGGTTTTGAATTATCAAGAGATTCAGTACAACTGGATCAGGGAGAAGTTGTCGGTGAGTTGTAGCTTCTGGAAACGCGCATCGTGGTACAAACAATCAAGGGAAATAATGACACATTGACTTGGTTGAAGATTTATCGGGTTCCCATCTTTTTCATGGTTACCGAATTCAAACTAACAATTAAACATTAGGTTAGAGATTTGACATAACTATAAAAAAGATGAATATTCTTTGTTTATGACATTACATAAGTCCTAGGCTGGATATCCATTGATCCTCTGACTCTATTCCTGGCACAAAAGTGTCATGCCTGGTAGGCTAAATTCTTTAAAAGGCTGGCAGACAAGTAGTTAGGAAATAACTTGCATCCGTAAAGGAGCTTTTATCATTTTTCACTTTTTCTTGTGTATCATTCCGCAGTCTACCAATAAAATTCTACGAAAAAAATCATATATAACTCAAAATGTTGGCCACTTAAACTCCAGCCTCCACTTCTAGTAATGTGACCGAAGAAAAGCCAGCTCCCACTTTGGCCGAAGTGGTTAGAAAGTTAAATACTGAAAAGCTCATCGAATTTTTACGTGGGGAAGAAGACTTGCAACTCGTATCAAAATCTTGCGAGATCAGATCACCGGCCGTGCATTCCTCAATACGACCAAAGCAGAATTTCTTGGTTATGGTATGAAGGGCGGACCAGCAACGATTCTTGTGGGTTTCGCCAAAGAAGTTAAGGAAAAAAATTGTGTTTTCGTCGTACCGCAGTCTAAGAGACGTGTTATTAAAATATAACCTCGACAGTGATGGTGTGGAAGCCATTCCATTGTCTCGAACTTCCGCAAGACAATGATTAGCATTTCGCACATTTCACGGCAGATACTTTGTTCATGAAGCATTACAGGTCTTTAGTCTTGGATAGCTTGGAATCCATGCAAAACGAATACGTATCGACATCACTTCACACAGCTCTCTATATCGCACGAGAATATGAAATCGTTGGTGATGAAGGTCCCAGACGAGTTGATTATGGAATCAAGGTTTGAGGATTGTTTTTTTAATAGCCGAATTACGGAAATCCATCATACGTTTTTTCTGGGACTTTATATTAATTAATATTTGTTTTTCAGGAGTCTGAAAACCTAATCTGCGTTACCGAAGATAAGGTTCAGCGTAGTATACTTGAAGGTTTTGACCAAAATATAAAACAATTCGAAAACTTGTACGAAACGAAAAAGAAAAAACGAAAGCGAGAAGACGAGGATTTCGAATATCTTTATGGAATCGTGACGTCTTACTTTGCAGTCCCGGAGAGATTTCTCAAGCAAGTGAGATTCCCTATAACATCGAAATCAACAAAAAGGCTTTGGAAAAAGACTCAGAGGAATGCCAAGCATTGTATAAGGGTGTGAAAAAGGTATTGAGTATAATCGTGGGTTTGTTAAAGGACCAGGTTTGTTTAGAAAAGCCCCTTGCCACCAAGAGAGTAGGGTTGAGGGATACCGCGCAAAAAAATAATGTAATAGAGAGGGTCTGTACCCGAATTTGTAATTTATGTTTTGGTTAATAAAGAAATGAATTTTCCCAATGTACCAGACAACATGGATGTGATTACTAACATCGTGTTCTCGTGATAGAACTTTATGTACCGATTACCTGCGAAGTGTAAAGCAAGATGTACAAAGTGCACTTTATTTTTTTACAGAATGCGATAACATATTTCTATAGTTATGCTAAAATGTAACATAAAAGGATCCCTGTTATAATGCGAATAAACTGACTTTTTTCTCCATTGACGCTTCACATCTACGGTAGGTTAAATTCTTGCCGTGCTACAAGTTGAAGTTCCCACAAATCCAAGTTGAATCCACCAACTGCTGATGCAGGAACACCGGTAGGATCCCCGTTAAAGAGTTCTGTTGCTGGAATGTTCATTTGGTAGTCCGGAATACCAGCCCTTGCACAAGGAGGGAAAGGATTATTATTAGCATCAGAAAGTCCAACACCAGTGAATAGATGAGGAGGAACACACATAATATTGTAGATGTGGTTCTTATGAGAATGTGAAGGTGGTGCCGTCCCAAAAGACCTGACGTCGACCGGAATCAGTGGTGTCGGACTCGTACGAAGGTACAGGGCGACAATTATCGCGATAGTATTATCCATACGAGGCTCATTTAACTTAACAGCCAGCACAATCTTAATTGTAGTTCGAGGATTAAAGTAGAGTGCTACCTTTCGATGCAGGTCAAGAAGGGTCTGCATGTGATCGACTTCGATTACCATGGTTGGGTATGCCATTCCACGTCTATCCATTGCCTGTGCGGGTGGAGGCCGAGGACGCCGTACCGGTTGGACCATTGAATCCGGATCCTTCGCAGTGTTTGGGCCCAGAATCATGGTTGCATCGTCGAAATACCCCAAGTCCCTATGGTTTCAGCTATAAAGTTCTCCCTTGATTGTTGCTGATACCCTTGCGCGGATCACTGTAGGTATTTCGTTGATTATGATTTTTCCATTATATAGATATACGCGAACCGGAAGCCTCACGTCCCTTTCGCGGTAAGTCAGAAAGTTGTCAAGTAACACGTTTTCCTGAACGATGACTTCACTAGATCTGGGTTCTACATGTTCCTCCTCCCTTTGGGCGAATTCGAACAAGGATCTTTGCCGACTCAACAACATCGGGAGTCAAACCAAGCTTTATGTTATACGCAGCCTTTTTGCTCGGTTTTGCACTGTTTTTCATCGACATTTTCCTAATATAGACCTTGAAATGTGTGACAAATAAATAAATAGAAACAGGCGCCAGTAAAAGTTTCCTAGTGTTATAAACCTACTTTTAAGTGCCGTCCGTAGAGCAACAAAAGATAAAAAATTTTACGCATCTTTGATTTGTGTATTTATGACAAAAGTGATACCGCGCAGTAATGATCGCATTACCTGTGTAACGAGTTTTTGTTTGCGTCTCTCATTTCTTGGACAATATAAAATCAGCAAGTTTAATGTTTTCACCCCGGATAAGATTATTTCCTGAGCGCTAAAAATAAAATTGATTAAATTAAATGTAGTTCCATCTACAAATATTAACTTTACCAAACCCTTGTGAATGATATCTTTTCCGTGTAAATGTAAAATCGCGTTTGTAATTTGTTTAGCCAATCGTAATTTTTCATTCCAGTTTAATGGTTTAAATTTTCTCTTTAAGGTGTTGCCGCAAAGTTCCATCAGCATATTCAATAAACATAAGATAATTGGATTTAGAGAATCTGTATAATTGTCTATATTAGCTACAGTTTCTTGTATAAACGTACGCGTTTAAAATCATCACGCAAATATTACCTTTCTTAGAAATTCCATAAAGTTGTCATCAAGTTAACATCTTGATGCAACATAAGCTACGCAAGATATTTTACATTAAGCATTATTTAATATGCGTTGTTACAATAACGTTTACATATAATAAATAATACTGTACTCAATTTTAACTTTTTTAATCGCCACTATTTTTTATATACTTTTCCAAAGCTACAACTTTAATATCATCGAAGTCGATATACTAAAACCTCCACAAAGCAAGTTCACTATATTTTACAATTTCAAAATGTGAATCCTGTATGACAAAATATTTATATCCTGCAGTTCGTTGCACAACAGCAATTTTTCTTTAGTTATTTATGAAGTTACACGACTAAAACTGTACAATATTTCATAGAAACTACGCAGTTGTTATTGTTGTTATTTGATTCTAACATTACACTATGATTTCAGAAGCTGCAAAAAAATTGATAAAAACGGCAGAAGGTTAGTCTTTTGAAATTTCAATTAATTATTGCAGTAAAGTTTTAAGTGTGATTTCTTAACTTAATAATACTTGTAGAAGGTATCTAAATCCAGAAACTTCACTATATATTTGTTAACCATGAGATTTGATTATATTAATCGATATTGTTACTTAAAATCATATTAAATGAAATTAAATTGTATTGGTTGTCAAATTTTATAGATAGTAAGTTAAAATCCAGTACACTTTCGTAAATAATATGAAATGAGATTTAATTGTATTGATTATCAAATTTTATAGATGGTAAGTTAAATCCAGTACATTTGCGTTATTTTTACTTAATATCTTATAAAATGGAATTAATTGTCAAATTTAATAGGGAGTAAGTAAATACAGTACATTTTCGTTATTTTTTCATAAGATCATATGAAATGAGCTTTAATTGTACTATTATTCTCTACCGTTGTAGATTGTAAGTTAAATCCAGTGCATTTGCGTTATTTTTTCATAAAATCCTATGAAATGAGATTTTATTGTATTAATAGTCAAATTTTATAGGGAGTGGGTTAATCCACGTTATTTTTTCATAAAATCATATTAAATGAGATTTAATTGTAATATTATTCTCTACTGTTGTAGATTGTAAGTTAAATCCAGTACATTTTCGTTATTTTTCAGAAAATCATATGAAATGAGATTTGATTTTATTAATTGTCAAATTTTATAGACAGTAAGTAAAACTCAGTGCATTTTCGTTATTTTTCGTAAAATAATATGGAATGAGATTAATTGTATTAATTGTCAAATTTATAGATGGTAAGACAAATCTAGTGCATTGTAGTTATTTGCTTTGTAAAATCATATGAAATGAGATTTAATTGTACTAATTATCAAACTTTACAGATGGTAAGTTAAATCAGTACATTTTCGTTATTTTTACTTAAAATAATATAAATAAAATTTAATTGTATTAATTGTCAAATTTTATAGATAGTAAGTTAAATCCAGTACATTTTCGTTCTATTTTGTAAAATCATATGAAATGAGATTTAATTGTATTATTCTCTACTATTGTAGATTGTAAATTAAATCCATTGCATTTTCATTGGTTTTTCGTAAATATATGAAATGAGGTTTAATTGATTGTTATTATCTACTGTTGTAGATTGTAAGTTAAATCCAGGACATTTTCATTATTTTTTGTAAAATCATGTGAAATGAGACTTAGTTGTATTAATATTCTATTCTTCTGCTGTAGATTGTAAGTTAAACCAGTACAATTTCGTTATTTTTCATAAAATAATATAAAATATGATTTGTTTGTATTAATTGTCAAATTTTATAGATGGTAAGTTAAATATAGTACATTTTCGTTATTTTTTCGTAAAATAATATATTATTCTCTACTATTGTAGATTGTAAGTTAAATCCACTGCATTTTCGTAAAATAATATAAGATGAAATTTAATTGTATTAATTGTCAAATTTTATAGTCAGTAAGTTAAATCCAGTACATTTTTTTTATTTTTTCGTAAAATCATATAAAATGAAATCTAACTGTATATTATTCTCTATTGTTATAGGTTGTAAGTTAAATATAGCACATTTAGTTATTTGCTTCGCAAGCCATATGAAATGAGATTCAATTGTGTTAATTTTTAAATTTTATAGCCAGTAAGTTAAACCCAGTCATTTTCGTTATTTTATCGTAAAATAATATGAAATGGGATTTAATTGTATTATTATTCTCTATTGTAGTAGATTGTAAGTTAAATCCAATATATTTTCGTTGTTTTTTCGTAAAAAATAGGAAATGATATTTAATTGTACTACTGTTGTAGATTGTAAGTTAAATCCAGTATATTTGGTTACTTTTTTGTAAAATAATATTAAATGAGATTTGATTGTATTAATTGTCAATTTTATAGTGGGTAAGTTAAATCCAGTACATTTTTTTGTTATTTTTGTAAAATCATATAAAATGAGACTTAATTATGTTGTTATCCTCTACTGTTATAGATTGTAAGTTAAATCTAGTACATTTTAGTTACTGTATTTGTTTTGCAAATCATATGAAATGAGATTCAATTGTATTGGTTTTCAAATTTTACAGCCAGTATGTTAATCCAGTACATTTTCGTTATTTTTTCTTAAAATTATATGAATAAGGTTTGATTGTATTTTCTCTATTGTTGTAGATTGTAAGTTAAATTCAATATACTTCGTTATTTTTTGTAAAATAATATGAAATGAAATTTAATTGCTGTAATTGTCAAATTTATAGACGGTAAGTTAAATCCGTTATATTTTCGGTATTTTTTTCGCAACCAATATGGAATGATAATTAATTGTAATATTATTCTCTACTGTTGTAGATGGTAAGTTAAATTCAGTACATTTTCTTCATTTTTCGTAAAATAATAGTAAATGAGATTTGATGGCATTAATTTCAAATTTTATAGACGGTAAGTTAAAATCCTTTGCATTTTTGTTATTTGTTTGGCAACCACATGAAATGAGATTAGTTGGATTGTTATTCTTTATTGTTTAGATTGTAAGTTAAATCCATTATTTGTTTCGCAAAACCATATGAAATGAGATTTGATTGCAATATCTTCTTTACTGTTGTAGATTGTAAGTTAAATCCATTACATTTTCGCTATATTTTCGTAAAATCATGTTAAAAATGAGATTTAATTGTATTGATTGTCAATTTTATAGATGGTAAGTTAAATCCAGTACATTTTCTTTATTTTTTCATAAAATAATATTTAATTGTATTATTCTCTACTGTTGTAGATGGTAAGCTAAATCAAGTACATTTTCGTTATTTTTCGTAAAATCACGAAATGAGATTTAATTATACTCTTATTATCCTTTATTATTGTAGATGGTAAGTTAAATTCAGAGCATTTTTGTTATTCGTTGTAATTTACAAATCTAATTTATTATAGGAAAAAACTGTAGACAGTGCTATAAGGTGTCGATAACACGTTATTGGTGCCAGTCTTGTAATTCTTCTCGTTTTCAACAAAATTTTGATACTTGGAAAAGTGGAAACAATAATATCGACGCATTTATAAAGGAAATACAGTTAGCATCAACTAGCAGATACAGTATTCTTGAGTGGATTCCGTATTCAAAGTTTAAGAATGTGAGATTTTTTGCGAAAGGTGGATTTAGCGAAATATACATGGCCGAATGGATTGACGGATATATTCTTTATTGGAATGCAGAAGAGAGTCAGTGGAAACGGAAGGGAAAAATAAAAGTTGCGCTAAAATGCCTTAAGGATTCACATGATATAACTAATAAATTTTTAAATGAGGTGATTATTAATATAGTATTTTTCTTAATAATTTATTTTTATTTTTAACTGTTATTTACATATAGACAAAGAATCTTTACCACTGTAATGGTGAAAAATCTCGTATCACACGGTGTTATGGAATTACTCGACATGAGGAAACAAATAATTTTATGATTGTTATGCAATTTATAGACTATGGAAATATTAGAGATAATCTATATAAAGTTTATAAAAAGTCGTGGATCGATAAGCTTACCATTTTATCTCAAATTGCAGGAGGTCTCCGACAAATGCATGAAACTGGATTTGTTCATCGAGATTTTCATACTGGAAATATTCTTTTATCGAACGGAGAACTACCTTATATAACAGATCTAGGTTTGTCCAAACAAACTGCTGAATATACTAGTGAAGTCAATAAGCAAAAAGTATATGGTGTGCTTCCATATGTAGCACCCGAAGTATTATGCGGAAATGAATATTCGGAGGCAGCAGACATTTATGCATTTGGTATTATTATGTCTGAAGTATTATCTGGTACTCCTCCTTTCAACGGAGTGCCGCATGATAAGGCATTGGCAATTAAAATTTGTGATGGGCTCCGACCTAAACCTCAAAACAACCTGCCAGAATTGGTAATTGATTTAATGAAAAAATGCTG